CTAAAATGTCTAGGTTAGATTTTTTAAAAAAAAATTACCAAAGTAATGGAGTATTTAAGAAAATATTCAATACAAAAAAAAGTTTCATTTATCTATTTTTCTAAAATTTTGATAGATGTTAGTAATGATATATAATGACTCTTTTAGTAATGAAATTGATATAACTATTTTCTAAAAATTAAAGATAAAAAATTAGACTTAAAAAATTAAAGATTGGAATTAAAATTAAATAAGAAAGGAAAAAAGTAAATGAAATTTTCGATGGTGGGATTCAAGGAAATCCAAGTAGTGATTTTTGAGAATTCTCTAAGTGAAAAAAGTCTTCTAAAAATTATCAAAGTATTGGAATATTTAGAAGTTTCTTTTCAATACGAAAAATTTTTTTCTATAATTATTTTCTTTAATTTGAATAATTTTCTTAATAAATAAGTGTGTGTTTTGTAGGAAATAAATGTATTTGTAGATAATTATATTATTACATGACTTTTAATAATTTTCATAAAAAAACAAATGAAAAGTCTCCGAAGATAAGATCCTAAAAAAATTCAAGTAGTGATTCTTTATGAATCTTTAGGTAAGAAAATCTATCTAAAATGTTGTCAATGTATTGGAGCATTTAGATTAATATTTGGTAAAGATTTCATTTTTTTTTATAAATGGCATAAAAATGAGTTTTAGAAAATACGATTTGTATTAAAATTATAGATATTATATAATATGCTTTTTTAAATATAAATATTGAAAATAAATAAGACCACAAAGGATATGATTTTTGATAATTTCAAGTAGCAATTCTTAAAAATTTTTTAGGTAAAATGGTTCCTTTTAATATTACCAAAGTATTATAATATTTTTAGGAATTTTTCTATATGTAAGGTTCTTATTTATTTTTCTAGTATACTAAAAAATAAAAATATGTTTTTAAAAAAAATTAAGAAAATTAAATTTTAAATACCAAAAATTAAGACCATTTTAGTCAATATTAAAAAATAACATATAATTAATTGGTATCGTTTTAAACTTGCACTGTGAGGGTGCTAATCCTTCTTCACGCATAATCGACTTCTGAATCTAAATTATTTTCGTAAACCCAAAAATTATTTTTTTAATAAATTTTAATTAGTTTTAAAATTTTATTAAGAAAATAAGTTTTAATAAGTAATTAATCATACCTAACCAAAAAAAAAATTGATAACGACTCCATCTTTTGTTTTCAAATTCATCTAGCGACCACCAAAACCATTATGACAAATGTTTCTGTACATTTGTTACCATGACCATTTTATGAAGTATTGAAAACTTGCATATGCTCATCTTTTATACAATTTTGGTAGGAAATTTAAATGGTATCTCCCATCATTAACAATTCCTTTAAAAAAATCTCTAGTACTTTCTGCTGAACTTGTTTTTGTTTTTTTGTTTATGAGAGAAAAATGGACAATTAGGCCTATTAATGTTCATCCTTCTTTTTGGTACATATAAAATTCATCCTTATATATACATGCAATTCGACAAAGTGATTTCAAGACAGCCAATGGTGATCTGCTATGTTAATCACTAAATGATTATTTAGTTGATTTATGTGATGAATGAATTATATAGGGAGTAAATTATTATATGGTAAGAGTATGATTTTGTTTGAATTATTATATGGTAAGAACTAATAAGGTTCAATTTGAAATTTAATATAATTTATTTATATAGTCATTCTTAAAAATGGTATTTAGTCAATTTAAAAATCAAATATTTGCACCTATAATCTCTTTTCTTATTTCAAAATTTTGACCTTCTTCATATATAAAAACTAAAAAAAAAACTAAAAAAATGTTACTAATTAGGAAAAATATACTTGAAATATTAACAAAATAATAAGTTTTCAAAACAAAATCAAAAGAATCGGTCATTAAGAATTTTGAACATGTTAACTCCTTCAAAAGAGTTTCTTTCTTCACTTTAATTTCATTATTATTAAAAGAACTTTTGATTAAAAAAAAATCAAGTCTTAACATTCAAAGTTTTATTATTTTTTCACTTTACAACTTCATTTATAAATAAACCAAGGAAAATGTATTTCAATATATTTTATTTTTTATAAAGATAATGATTGTTATCAACAAATTTTAGTCAAACCCATTTTTATAAATTTTTTGGCAACTCTATCTCTTAGAATCCAATGATATTTTCATTCTTTGGTAAGTTCTAATGGTTTTAGCTTAATAGGGTATTCTAAATTTCCTACTATATATGATAAATTTCATTTTTAAAAATTTTTATTAACAATTATGGTGTTTTTAAGCTGCAATTTTGAATTTCTTTAGATTGTTTTTTTCCTTTCTTAATGAGAATAGAGGGGTTGTTGATAGATTTTCTTGGTAACTGTCAGAATCTGGCTTTTGTTTTTTTGGTATTGTGGTATCTATGATTATTTGTTTGGCCTAAAAAAGAAGAATCTTATTGCAAATTCATTATCTAAAAAGGTTTAATAGGGTTCAAATATAGGAAAAGGGATTGATTTGAAATGTGTCAATAATAGCAGGTTTAATAGGGGGGAATTTGCTATAATATTTTTCTTTTTCACACCAAAAGAATAATAACAAATGCAACAGTACCCAAAAACAAAAACAGATTACTGACAGTTACCAAAAAAAATTTATCAGCAACTCCTCTATTCCCACCGAAAGGGAAAAAATCTAAGGAAATTCAAAATTACAGCTTGAAAACACCATAATTGGTAACAAGAATTGTAAAAAAGGAAATATATACATATATAGTTAGAAATTTAGAATGATCCATTAAGGTAAAACCACAAAAACTTACCAAAAAATAAAAATACCACTGGTTTCCTAGAGACAAAGTTGCCAAAAAAAAATCTAAAAATGGGTTTGAATAAAATTTGTTGATAAAATCATTATCTTTATAAAAAAAAATAAATATATTAAGAAATACATTCTCTTTGGATTAATTATAAATGAAGTTCTAAAATGAAAATAAAATAAAGTTTTGAATGTTAAGACTTGATTATTCTGAATCAAAAGTTCTTATAATAATAATGAAATTAAAAGTGAAAAAATAAATTTATACTTGTTAATTTTGCATACCTTTAAAGGAGCTAAAGTTAAACTGGCATTTCAATCTCTGGCAAAATTAATTGCTAGATAGGTGAAATGGATGCATTATATGTTTATAATGAACTCTTATTTCTAAGCATTTATTGATGATACAAATATTGAGAATCAAGTGATCATTTCAATTTTGAGCAAGTTTTCCTCATTAAACAAAGGGAGTAAAATGAAAAAATAAAACCCAGAGGCTCTGCCCAGTGCCCACCTTATGAACTAAGATTATTCGGGCTCCATCAAGGTGACATTTCTGCTTAGTCTTTCCTTTGTATTCTGAATAAATGTTTCAGAAATTTCATTAATATTCAACCCCAAACCTGTAAGCTTCGGCTTTGAGGCATCAGGTTGTAGTGGTTTTCCCAAATTTGCACTGTGAAATTTATTGCCTGCCCTCTTTTTCTTCTCTTCCTGACCTGCACTATTAGTTATAGGAATAATGACCTCTGAGCCTGTTGATCTTTCACCTTCAATATGTATTCCAGTCATCCCTTGAACTTGGGGCTTAGCAGTGCCAACTGAAATACCATTTAAGGGTGGTATCTCCTTCTTCCCCGATGGGTCAGTGAATTCGATCCTCTTCTCCATTGCTTTGTCATATTTGGCTGCTGCATGGACAGACAAACCAAGCTTGTCAACTGGAGTCCAATAGTCCAGCTCTTCTGTTTGCTTGAAGTGAATCTGAACTTTAGAATCGGAATCATCCTTCAGCTTTGAGTTCACCCTTTCCTCTCCATTATTGGGTGTGGCATGGATTGTGAGAGGGTTTTTGCACTCCATTCCTTGCATATTCATCTACTGTCCCTTGTTTGGTTGAACCCTCGGACATAGGGTGGCCCAAGTTCACTCGTTTCAGGCCTCTACCAATGAGGCAGTTCACGATGAAGTTGAAGAGCCTATGGCAAACGCCAAGATGCCGAAAATCGTTTTTCTTTTTCACCATGGCTTGGATGAAATGAAAGATTGAGCCACAGAAAGAACTAATTAATTCAGCTGGATGGTGAAAATGGTAAGTGAGAGAGCTTATATTTGAACATATTGATAATTGTCTTAATTTGCTTGGATGATTCTATTCTTGGGATTTGGGGTAACAAAAGGAAAGAATGTGATTTCCGTCGAAGCATTCTTCTCTCTTTTAATCCCAACGATTTCTTGTTTCTTCACCTGCTTTAGTGAAAAGCAGAAAAAGCTTGCAAGAATAACCAAATTTACTGGATTCCTGGAACTGGAATTCTACTTTGCTTGAAGTTAATTTATTCCCAAACAGCAACAAGAATCACCGAGGGGACCTGGAGATTGGTGGTTGCAGCAGAAATAGATTAAGAATCCATGTACAGTGAGGCTTTTAGACAAGTGCTTTGTAACAAACAGGGCGATGAGAAATTCCTTATACACTCCATGTAAACATAGCTATGGAATAAAGCTGATTGAGACTTTGATTTTTTCTGCATATTAAGAATCTTCCCTTGGCCCTTCATTTGAATCTGCTTTAGCTTCTTTTAAAGTATTTTCAGTTGTCATGTATAAAATTAATAGTTATTTTAGATCGTACAGTTTTAAACATGGTAGGGAAAAAATGTAAAAACGATAAGATTTAATTGATAAAAATCATATATATAAAAAATTATATATCATTATGAATTATAGTATAATAATTTTAAAATTTATTTATAAAAAAATAAATTTATAATTACAGAAAAAAATCGATCAATTAATTTATATAATTATTTTTAAATAATAATATTTAACATATGTAAAATTTAAATTTTGATACTTTTCATGTAAAAGTTAATAAATTATATTCTTCAATTTCTTAACTTAATGATTAAAACAATCTTAAAAAAATATCAAAATTAAAATTCGACCTTAGTCTTTTCGCTTCTTCTTTCTTGTAGGGCTCTATCTCTTGAATGACAAAAAAAGTTGGTAAATTGCCAACAAGCGGGCTAAAGAAGCCGAAGAGGTCTAGAAGTGAACCGGTCCAGTTCACCGTCAAAACCAACCAGAAATTGGCCGCCCGCCCATTTTGATGCGCACTTCACACCAATCGCTTCATAACTGAAAACAAACTTTAACAAAATCTTTGGCCTTATTCCCCATTCTCTTGAAATAATACCCCAAAATCTCAATCAATTCTCAACTCAACCCCACCCCGAAAAAACCCTAATGTTTTCGTCATGGATTTCTTCAAATCAGTTTTTGCAGACGATCCAGATCCTCCTGAACCCCAAAACGAATCCGATTCCCCCAAAGCCGTAGACTCCAGTCACTCTATCCTCGATTGCTCTGCTAAACAGCCCTACCCCAACCCTAACCCTATTACTACCGGATGGAGCTTCGGTGGTCTGATCAAAACGATAGCAACCAGATCCGAATCCGTAATTGAAACCTACCGTCGTGATCTTCATGAATTCGGCTCGGGTCTAAAAAAAGAAATCGAGGTAGCCCAGGGCTCGTTAGAGAACATAGGGCACGCCATTGATGAATTCGGGAATACTGTTTTAAAAGGAACGGCTCAGATCATCAATCAAGGCAAAGATGCAATCCTAGCCGCCGATAACGAATCCGATTCGTCTTCATCCGAAAGCAATAGCAAAGGTTTTAGTACTCAACGAAGCTTGAACTCGAAAAGTTACAGTCGATTCGATGCTCAAGTAAGGGCAATTCAAGGAGATATTAATACTTACAGTGAAGAGCCAGAGGATTTGGAGGATTATAAGAAGTGGAAATCAGGGTTTGGTTTGGAAGAGAAAAAGGAAGAGATTGAGAGATTGATGGCAGAGAATGGGGAAATGGGGAATCTTTATAAAAGGGTTGTTGGTGTTTCAAATGGGGTTGGTCATGAGACATTTTGGTGTAGGTATTTTTATAGGGTTTTTAAGCTTAAGCAAGCTGAGGATATGAGGGTTAAGCTTGTTAAGAGAGCTATTTCAAAGGAAGAAGATGAGGAGTTGAGTTGGGATGTTGATGAGGATGAGGAGGAAGAGGTGGATGAGAGAAATGTGGGGTCGAACGCAAGTTTAAAGAAAGAAGAAGACGTGGGGAGGAAAGAAAAAGATGAAATTGTGGAAGAAAAGGTGGTGAATTTGGAATCTAAAGGTGATTTTTCAGAGAATAAGGAGCAAGTTGAGAGGGAAAAGGAAAAGAATCCTGTTCAGGAAATGCTAGTGAAGAACTATGATTCAGATCAAGATGGGAAGGGAAATGCTGATAAATCATGTGACGGCAATGTGGTGACCGAGAAAGTTAATTTGGAGAAGGATGAGGGGGTATGCAAGGAAAATCCAGTGTCGAAATCTGTTGAGAAAGTAGCTTCTGAAAGGAAAGGTGACCATGAGGAGTCTAGTAATGGCAACGTTAAAGACAGTGACTTTTCAGTTGTGTCAAGCCATCCATCAATGCCTGAGGAGGACGATCTTGGGTGGGATGAAATTGAAGATCTCAGCAGCATTGATGATGATAAGAAAAGGACTCATAGTGGAAGCCCGAGCTCAAATAGAGCTGATCTGAGAAAGCGACTGAGTACTGCAGAAGAAGATAAGGATTTGAGCTGGGATATTGAAGATAATGATGAACCGGTTAAAGCTTGATGAAAAATGTTAGAGTTCCATTTGAAAATGTTTGAAGTTTATTACTCATATAGAATTCAATTGCATTCTACTGTTTCTTTTATGTAGTGTTTCTAATATATGTACCCTTCAAGTGTTATATAAGGGGGAGAATTTCCTTTTCGTTTGAGATGTAAATATCTTCTATGATTTGTGTACCTTTTAACACTTCATTGAAATGAAATTGAAGAAGCTATGTTCTTACTAAAATTGCTTTTCATTTATTTGCGTAGCTTTTTAGAGGTTGAAATGAAAGACTGATTGCTTGTTACTAGTATTTATACACTTACTAATCTCAATATTTATTAGACCTAATAATTTAGTAACACGATATAAAAAAGATAAAAAAAAAAAAGTGATATAATTTAAAATTTTATCAAAATTTATATACAAATTTTGGGAAAATTTTAAAAAAATATATTTTATGTTTGGTCTAATTTATACGAATTATAATACGATAATTTTTATATTTTATATGTATTTGACGTGAAATAAATATTACACAAATATACGAATTGTCAATCTAAAAATTGTCGAGTTTAATATTTATTGACTGAGAATAACAGATTTTCTTGGATGGCTTTAAATTTTATTTACTGCATCTGCAAAGGCATTCTGGAAGCATTTGGCCTTCACTCCTCTCTCCTCCATGATGCTTGCATTAGGTGCTGCTGATGAAAGTTTGGACGCCATATTTTGCTGTTAGCTTGCAGTTCAAGGACTTCTTTTACAACAGCTACTTACAATTGCATTAACCTTGCCTAAAACGAATGAGATTGAAAATAATGTATGTAAACTATAAAACAGATGGTAAAAAAATTCAGTTAAAACTCCCTCTGGGGAGTTGATTTTCCACGGTCTTTTTGCGTTTTATGCATTTTTGGACTGCAAATGAGTAAATGATCTATGGACCTATCCTCTACTAAGACATCATGTTTGCGCATCATGTGAAAATCACTAACCAGAGCCATTAAGTTGTTTACGGTAAATAATACGGGTATTTCAGCCAGTTCAAAAATTTGAGAGCACATTGCCTTTTTCTATAGTTTACACTTAGAAGAAACGAAATGTGTTACTGTGACGTTTCAAAAGCAACCAAACAGACACCTATAAGAAGATACGAGGATCTACTGCATGTTTGATTTGCTTCAAAAACAAATTTGTTTGAAAATTAAAATATCAATCAAAAAATTGATGATAAACTTTGATCACTACCGCTAGTAGCAAATTTTCACTATCCCATATAAAACAGATAACCAGAAACTAACTTATATCTGTCTGTAAAAGAAAATTTAATATAAATGACTTAGTACAAAATTCCGTCCGTTAGTAGACTTAATTCACACTCCAACTTAAAGCTCAACTACCTTTAAAGCCCCCTATTGTGGCAATTGATAGAACCTAACCTTGTGGAGGAAAAGAAAAAAGAAAGAGTAAAAAATGAAGGGAAAAACAAACAAACCCTTAAAAAGCTTGAGCCGCATTTTTACAGTAAGTAAATGCTCTTTCAGAGCAAGAAGTGCCCATGAACAATGCCTTTGACAATTCATATTGCTTTGGCCCTAAGGCTGCCTCAAGCTTAAACTTATACCTATTTCCCTTCAATATGGATGCCCGGTTCAGAAGTGGACTCTGCTACATGTGTTTCAACAGGAGTAGGCAATGCAAGCATCCTTCCTTTTTGGGCACGCGGTGGAAGGTGCTTAGGAGGCTTTCTTGATCCCATAGTCCAGGGCAAGAAGACCCCCGTGCCACCACGAGTAAGTTTTCTGGGGCTCACTGCCATTGGGCGCACAGGAGCTAGCATGACAACAGGACCACGGAGGACTCCCCATTTCGGCATCATATCCAGTGCCTCATAGCCATTAAGAGCTTCATTTGACATTGCATATGGACCTGGGAAACCTGGTTGCCATAAAGTCATGGCACTAGTCTGGGGGGTAGTTGGTGGTGACTGACCTTGGTTGTTATCAGGCCGAACTCGGAAGAATGTAATGCTGACCCTCTTGCTCAGAGATGGGCAAATGACATGTCTTGCCATGTCAGCACTGTTTCCCCTCATAACTAAAAGAGACCTGCAGAATAGCACTAATATGATACAGAACTTGCTTGTCAAGTAAGAGTTAAACACATGGTATATATTAAGTGAGAGAACCCAAAACAAATGTTCACAATCAAAACATCATGGCAATGCCAGAGAGTAACATTTAGAAATGAGAAGCTGCCCCTGTTTAATGTTAGTTTTTCAAAGTATGACCCTAGCATATAGCCACCAATATAATCAGAAAAGCAATGTCGATTGTATGCAAACTCTAACACCATAAACAAACTAAATTACACAATGTCACTCCTATTCAATAGAAGCAGTGAACTCTGAAGTAGAACTTGCAATATTAGCAATTCTGTACCTAAGCTGCTTTATCAGTATCTTCTTTTGTCATAGTTTACTAATGGTGGTTCCCTTGTTAGTCCAATATCATTAATTTATATAAATTATCAATTCAGCTAACTTCCAAGAGTACAAATCAAATTCAAATAACTCAGAACATACCCTTCTTTCAATGAAAGTTGGAGTGGCCCCTTATAGTTCCCTTCACTATCACTCACAAGAGTGCGCCCAAAAGCCATTGTTGATTCAGAGAGGAGAAGAGTGGATATAGGATGGTCCACATGTGGTGGTTTAAGAAAAGGCTGCGAATATTCACCCTGCATTGAAGAAACATTATTATATCACTTCGATCCTTACTCTCTTTAATATAATTTAATACTAAAACCAAGATGGCATATGGACTGTGAACATCGCAGCTTACTCTATCAAATAACAGGAAAAGATGGGAATGACAGTACAGCAAAAAGGCTTACCTCATCAAAGAAGTTAATGATGCAACCATTGGGTTTCTTATATTCAGGTAGAAGTTGCCACTGGACCAGGTGTTCTATGACACTTTTGAGGAGAGCCGGAATTGGTTCTATATTGACTGTAAACATTTAAAGGAAAAAAAGGTGAATTAGAAAATTGTTTATGACACTGGATTAATAATTGATCACTCTTAATGATCAAGAACAAATTAAGAAACTAGAGAAACCAAACCGTATCACTAATTGATAGTGGTTGGTCTTACTTATTGGTTGTTACTTGTGGGCTGTTCTGTAATATGTTCAAAAATTGGAACACCAAGCTGAATCAGCTCTCGCTTGTTTCCTTTAATTTGTTTGTTGAATAAAATAAAAGTCTCCCCTGCAGTCATCCAGAAAAACAAAAAGAATCAGTAAGAAGTTCAGAAGCAAAGAAATGGCCAAAAAACTGCTGTAGTCATATTTTGTTTACTAACAAACTCTTGAATATCAATTGAAAGAAGATGCTATATGAGGCAAGAAAAAGATGCAGGTTATACTGGAGACTCCAGGAATGACAAGCAATTGCAAATTAATGAAGTAAAAGGTCCACAGCTCAAATCCATTACAATAAAATAGAAAACTGTTAATCAGAAGAGAGATTAAAAGAGTTCATATAAAAAATTAATTGCAAAAAAGAAAAGGCTATTAAGCATTGTCTGTACCAATTGAGAACTTTGTGAAATCTACGTCTAAACACATAAAGTGACCCAAAGGGTTGAGGTATGTGCTCCACATGAACCTCCTCCTTCAAAAGTATAAAACCCTTACATATCAGACTAAAACCAGCTAAAATTGCCTCTCTAGGTGCTTGACTTAAAGTTCTCTTGGACGATGATATTGATCTTCGAAGTCGTTACATCAAATATTCAGTCTAACTTCTGATGATTATTAAATTGCTCAAGCAGGAAACATGAATGACTACACCTGTTCAAACAAAGCTACAACACAAGGGATAACTATTTCAAATCTTCATCTTAATATTCTAAATCAAGCTTAATTCGGCAAGGCTTTAAAAGTGGGATGGCACCTGACAATTCCCCATTCAGGCCAGCAGATCGAAGTTCACTCACGAAGTCATGCAGCTTAGCCAGCTCTGAATCAGTGAACACGTCCTCATACAACTTCAATCCTTTCACAACATTCACCTGCGTCACAGTTATCAGGAAATTAGTAAAAACTAACAGATCCATCTTTTCTCCATTTTTTTCTTTTCTGAAATAGATTGAAATATAGGAAATCTTTTCTCTCTAATTCCATTTCTTTACGACAGTTATGTCAATTAAATTGTGAAAGAAAGAACTCACTGAGTGGCCTTTTACTTGCTCCTTGGCAGAAAAACCTTTCGTCAACTTGATCTGAGAAGGGCGTGCATCACATTCTTCATGGTTAGAACAAATGTCAATGTTTTCCTCAACATGCTCAACTTCCTGAGATCCTGCATTGCCAGAAGAAGTGAAATCATTACCCGAGATATAAATATAACTTATTGAATAAAAGGAATCATGGGGTCAAATGTGAATTCTCAGACAAAGTAGCCTGTGATAGTAGAAGATGACCACATTTTCTCCCATTCTTTTTTTTTTTTTTCAGTTTTTCAGAACCTATCCACAGGTTTTGATGTCTAATCTGACTAATTAAACAAACCACCATTGCACAAAAGGATGTTTAAAATGCACTAAACGAAATTATACGAAAAATTAGTACTCAATTATATTTCATAGTTAAACAGCATTAGCTTTGCAAGGCAAGTATGTTGATTAACGGACAACTAATACTGGATAACAAAAGAAACTAAAAAATTAATTATGCTTGGCAGGCACCTGATCTGTTATTATATTTTGGCTATTCAAATATCATATTGATTATATTGCCTTATTAAATATATGTTTATATATATATATATATATATATATATACACACTATTCTCATTTACTTCACATTCCTTGCTAGAATAGGAACACAATTTGACAGCTCAGACAGGGCCCTGCCCTTGCTAGCTGGAAAAATGTATGCAACTTTTACAGCACAGGTGTGCTTGTCACTTCTGTCTCTGTAGTTTTAGAAGCTAAGCTAAAGCTACCATGTAAAGACAGAAATTGCATGTTGTCCCAATGTCGGATGGCACAACCGGCTATCCAAACAGTAGCAGTTTTTTCTGTCGTTGAATTCAATTTGATCTTGATAGATTTGATAATTTAAAATATAATATAATAAATATAAATAATATAAATAAATAATATAAAATAAATAATTTTAAAATTTTAAAAAAATTATAAATAAATTTAACGAAATCAAAAAATTATATTTTATATTTTCAACGTTATCATATAATTTTTGTACAAAATATTATAATAATTCAATTTTTTACACCGATAGGTGATACGAATTACCAGGTGTAATCATTTGATCGCTCGCTCCTCCCAACAACAGAGTTGAGCAGCCAAAGCAAATCCAGTTAAAACGAGTCGACTCAGCTCGACTCATTTCAGTTGGGAATCGGTATTAGCTATCTAAAACTCCATAGGCAAACAAGGCGAAAGCCCCAACAACCCAATTCCCAAGCCTAACCTAACTTCCCGGCAACAGCAAGCCCCACGTGAAATCAGCAGTCGGCAACCGTGACGTCAAACATTAAGATCAGACGGTTATGATCAGAAGCCACCTATCATTAAAATCATTTCACGCATCTAGAGGAGGCGTCCCCCCAAAGATCACTGTAAAGAGGTTGCGCCACTCCCCAAACTAACTGTAACACTGAGTGCAGCCAAACCTTTTTCCTCTCTCTCGGTCTTCACCTCGAAATCCTAACCCCCCTCTTAAACCTTGGGAACATAACCCAACCAGATTACTCCAGTCCACTTCCAGAAACATAACAAAAAGTAAAGAAGGAACACTTTTTTATCAAGAAAACGTGAGTTTGAAGAAGCTTATCGAAGGGGAAAATTGATCCGATGAAAAACGACATCCATCATCATTGTCACCAACCCCAATCATCCAAAAAAATAAAACACAATCTCACCCAAAGGAAATTGTGAATAGGCATTAGAAACGTTGAATATCTGATCGCGTGGTGAAATACATGCTTTTGTTTGGTTCCTCAGAAAATGGAGAAAAATGATTAAATTTTTTAAATTTTTTTATTGAAAGTAAAAAGAAAAGGAAGGGCCTGATGCGTTTGTTATATTCTACTTTCTCGCTTTACCAAACACAGTGAAATTTGAGATTCAACACCTCACGCCTCGCTGCTTTTCAAGCAGCCAGAGAACAGACAAAAAAAAACGATCTGTTTCCTTTCATCTTTTATTGATTGATCAAGAAACAGAAGACGTTTGAAGAATTCAAGTAACAAAACAGAAAAGGATTGAAAACAACTGATCGCATAGCATTTATGGAAGAAAACAGAGCAAGTTCAGAGCTTTTTCTAGAATCCCGGTAACTTGGCCTGATTTTGCGTCACAAATTTCAATAAGAAAACACCAAAATTATCCCAAAAAAAAAAAAATGAAAGCTTTACCTAACGATCAAACTTGGCATTTTAGAGACAGAAAAGAATCAAACAGAGAAACAACACATTATTAATATATATATATATGAATCAACTTTATGATCAAAATCACTTTTGTTTTCTTTTAGTTATGAAGTTACCTGAATCATTAATATCATATTCAGAGGATTCTTCTTCTTCCGCATCACCAACTTCCGCATTTCCTTCATTTTCCACCACTTTCTCGGCAACTTTCTCTTTCTCCTTCTCTTTCTCATCACCCAAAGAATCGTTTTCTACTCCGCCACCACCTTTCAGTTCCTCCTTGTCAACTACATCTCCTCCTCCAAGCTTCTTGGCAGCCACCTTTTTCAGCTCCACCGCCACATCAGCAATGGAGTGGTACTTCTGCATCTGCAACACAGGAATCCAGTTCACCCTCCTCCTGTGGATCGCCGCTAACACCGCCTCGTACTCCGATCCTTCATCTCCTCCTCCATGAAGTTGCGCCATGTGGCCGCAAAGCGCATCGATTATGGCATTGGCCGCTGCAAATTCCCCTCGGAACCAAGAAATGATTGTGTCCTTAGCCAAAACGTCAGCAACAACCGGAACAGCTTGCATCATCGGTACGACCGCAGGCCCCACCACTTGAGACCGTTCCCTCGGCGATGCTAGCCCCGCCGCCATTGGCATCTCACTTTCCACAAACTCTACCCTTTCCTTTTAACTGTTTTACTAATTAAACCAAATATGAGGAACCCTGAACCTTTTTACTTTTCGGATGCTCCGAACTATTGGGTTTGGGAGAATTACCTGTTGGCCGATATTTCAGCTGTTTTGTTGAGAGAGGGAAGAAGGCTTTAAAGCAAATGCCAAATGCTGGGGTGGCTTTTTTTTTTGTTCCTTTGGTAATACAGCTGAGAATGGGTTTTTTTTTTGGGGGGGGGGAGGGAAGGGAGGGGTGACATTTTTTCTTTATTTGGAGCTTGTATGAGTGGCATGTTCGTACGGGTGGGGTCCAGGGATGGGTGACGTGGCACAACGAAATGGAACTTGGGTGCCTAAAAAAGGGAAGCGTATTCGAAGCCAGACAATGGGCGACGTGAAATTACCCCGATGGGGTTTGATAGGTTTTACATTCGCCAAGTGGCAAAATTTAGGCAGAAGACATGAGTTTAATTAAAAAGTAATTCGTTAACTAAGGTTAAAACTTTTTTTTTATTTTTTAAATTCAATTGGTGTTGAACAATATAAAACAATAATTTAAATAAAATACTAAACTTTTCGATTTAATGAAATTTATTGATTTTTATCAATTATATTATCAATTATTTAAAATAAATAATTTTATAAATATTCTGAAAGTTTTGACTTTTATGAGGTTTTTTTTTTTAATTTATCAAATGTATAATTTAATTCTTTATATTTTTTCATATCCACCCACCAAAGCAATAACCTAGACATTTTACATTTGGTTGGTCATTACTTTATAAAAAAAAATTGTATAAAGCAAAGCAACAGCTTAACACATACTTTGGACATTTCACATTTAGCTGTTCATTACTTTATAAAAAAAAATTTGTAAAGTTAAATTATTTTTTTCATAATTCCATATATGTTAAAATTTTATACATGGAGAATATGAAATATAATTTAATTGATATATAAAATTATTTTTTAAAAAAATTATTTAACATATTTAAAATTTAAATCTTAATGTTTGCATTTTTTTTTCAAATTGCAACATCCTTTCTAAAAAAAAAAAAGTTATATAGGATGCATGAAGGGTTTGAGTTGTAAAACTTTAGTCTAATTTTAAGCTCTATTTGTCTCACTAAAAATGATTTTTGAAAATAATTTTTATATTTTTAGGTGTTTGTTTGGTAAAAAACTTGTTAGTCAACAAAAAATAATTTACTGATCAACAAAAAATAAAGTTACCTTTTTTGAAATTGTCTTACTCTTTCGAAAATGAAAATTTTCTCATATTATGATTTTTATCAATTGTATTATCAATCATTTTAAATAAATAATTTTATAAATCTCTTGAGAGCTTTGACTTTTTATGAGGTTTTTTTTTTTAATCTATCAAATGTTTAAATCAATTCTCTAAATTTTCCCATATTCATCCATCTCAAACAAAGCAAAGCAATAACCTAGCATATACATAGGACATTTCATATTTGGCTTGTATTACTTCATAAGGAAAAAATGTATAAAGCTTTCTTTTTTATTTTTGGTAATTCCTTATATGGTAAAACGTTATACGTGGAGAATTCAAATTTTAATTTTATTGATATATACAATTATTTTTTTAAAAAATAAACATCCTGCATATTTAAAATTTAAATAATAACATTTGTAATTTTTTTTCAAATTACAACATCCTTTGTTAAGAAAAAAAGAAAGTTATATAAGATGCATGAAAAAGTTGAGTTGTAAAATTCTAATCTAAATTAAGGCTCCATTTTGTTTCACTAAAAATAACTTCCGGAAAATGATTTTTGCTTTTTTGGTATTTATTTTGCAAAAAACTTATTGGTCAATGAAAAATAAAATCATTTTTTGAGAAATTGTCTTACATTTTTTAAAAAGAGAAATTTTCCAGGTTGTGATTTTTATCGCTGGTATTATCAATCATTTTAAATAAATAATTTTTTAAATATCTTAAGGGCTTTTACTTTTTATGAGGAATTTTTTAAAAAATTTATCAAATGAGTAATTCAATTTTCTAAATTTTTTCATATCCATCCACCTTAAAAAAAAAAGCAAAGCAACAGCCTAGCACATATATAGAGCATTTCACATTTGGCTGGTCATTACTTTACAAGGAAAAATGTATAAACCTAAATTTTTTTTTTATAGTTCTTTATATGGTAAAACATTATAAATAAAGAATAGAAAATTTAATTTAATTGATTTATATAGTTATTTTAAAAAAATAAATATCCAACATACTTAAAATTTAAATTTTAACATTTGTAATTTTTTTTTCAAATTGCAACATCCTTTGTAAAAAAAGTTTATATAGGATGCACGAAGGGTATGAGTTGCAAAACTCTAGTCTAATTTAAGATTCTATTTGTTTCAAAAAAAAGTTCGAAAAATGATTTCTACATTTTTAGGTATTTGTTTGATAAAAAATTGGTTGGTCAACGAAAAATGACTTGTCAAAGGAAAATAAGATCACTTTTCTACAAATTGTCTTACACTTTTGAAATTGAGAAATTTTCCAGGTTGTAATTTTTATCAATTGTATTATCAATCATTGTAAATAAATAATTTTATGAATATCTTGAAAGCTTTAAACTTTTACGAGGTATTTTTTTTAAAATCTATCAAATGTATAATTCAATTCTCAAAATTTTTTCACATCCATCCATCTCAAACAAAGTAAAGCAAAAGTCTAGCACATATATAAGACATTTCACATTTGGCTAGTTATTACTTTACAAGGAAAAAATATATAAACCTAATTTTTCTTTTTTTGTAATTTCTTATATGGTAAAACGTATACATTGAGAATTCAAATTTTAATTTAATTGATTTATACAATTACTTTAAAAAAGTGAACATCTAACATACTTAAAATTTAAATCTTAACATTTGTAATTTTTTTTTCAAATTGCAACATCCTTTGTAAAAAAAAAAAAGTTATATAGGATGCATGAAGGAGTTGAGTTGTAAAACTCTAGTCTAATTAAAGACTATATTTGTTTTTAAAAAATAACTTTTGAAAAATGATTTTTACATTTTCAAGTGTTTGTTTTGCAAAAAACTAACAGGTCAACGAAAAATAAGGTCATTTTTCTAGAAATTGTCTTATGCTTTTGAAAAGGAGAAATTTCTCAGGTTATGATTTTTATCCATTGTATTATCAATCATTTTAAATAAATAAGTTTACAAATATCTTGAGATCTTTGACTTTTTACTAGGTTTTTTTTTTTTAAATCTATCAAATGTATAATTCAATTCTCTAACTTTTCCTATATCATCCACCTCAAACAAAGTAAAGCAACAGCTTAGCACATATATAGGACGTTTCACATTTGACTGGTCATTACTTTACAAGGAAAAAATATATAAAGCTAAATTATTATTTTTTTATAATTCCTTATATGGTAAAAAAGCTATACATGGAGAATTCAAAATTTAATTTAATTGATTTATACAATTATTTTAAAAAAATAAACATCCAACATATTTAAAATTTAAATATTAAAATTTGTATTTTTTTTTCCAAATTGTAACATCCTTTTTAAAAAAAAGTTATATAGGATACATGAAGGAGTTGAGTTTGTAAAACTCTAGTCTAAATTAAGGCTCTGTTTGTTTCAAGAAAAATTATTTCTTAAAAATGATTTCTACATTTTTAGGTGTATTTTTAGCAAAAAACTGGTTGGTCAATAAAAAATGACTTGTCATTGGAAAATAAAGCCACTTTTCTAAAAATTATCTTACTCTTTTGAAAATGAGAAATTTCCCAAGTTGTGATTTTTATCAATTGTATTATCAATCATTTTAAATAAATAATTTTATAAATATCTTTAGAGCTTTGACATTTTACGAGGTTTTTTTTTTAAATCTATCAAATGTATAATTCAATTCTCTAAATTTTTTCATATCTATCTACCTCAAACAAAGCAAAGCAACAGTCTGGCACATATATAAGACATTTCACATTTGGCTGGTCATTACTTTACAAGGAAAAAATGTGTAAAGCTAAAATATTTTTTTGGTAATTCCTTATATGGCAAAACATATATACGAAGAATTCAAATTTAATTTAATTGATTTATAAAATTATTTTTAAAAAAGCATCCAACATACTTAAAATTTAAATATTAACTTTTGTAATTTTTTTTTTTCAAATTGCAACATCCTTTGTAAAAAAAAGGTATATAGGATGCATGAAGGAGTTGAGTTGTAAAACTTTAGTCTAATTTAAAGCTCCATTTGTTTAACGAAAAATGATTTTAGGAAAATGATTTCTACAATTTTAAGTCCTTATTTGGCAAAAACTGACTTGTAAATAGAAAATGACTTACTAGTCAACAAAAAATAAAGCCATTTTTTAAAAATTATCTTACGCTTTCAAAAAAGGAAAATTGCTTAGGTTGTGATTTTTATCAGTTGTATTATCAATCATTTTAAACAAATAATTTTATGAATATCTTGAGAGCTTTGATTTTTCTATGAGTTATATATATTTTTTAAATCTATCGAATGTATAATTTAATTCTCTAAATATTCCCATATCCACCCACCTCAAACAAAGCAAAGCAACAGCCTAGCACATATATAAGACATTCTACATTTGATTGGTTATTACTTTATAAGGAAAAAATGCATAAAAGCTTTTTTTTTTTGTTTTTGTAATCCTTATATGGTAAAACGTTATACATGAAGAATTAAAAATTTAATTTAATTGATTTATGCAGTTATTTAAAAAAGAAACACCGAACATACTTAAAATTTAAATCTTAACATTTGTAATTTTTTTTTCAAATTGCAACATCCTTTGTAAAAAAACATTATATAGGATGCATGAAGGAGTTGAGTTATAAAACTCTAGTCTAATTTAAAGCTCCATTTGTTTTAAGAAAAATAATTTTCAAAAATTGATTTCTAAATTTTCAAATGTTTGTTGGCAGAAAATTGATTGATCAACAAAACATAATTTGTCAACAGAAAATCAAACTGATTTTCTAGAAATTGTCTTACGTTTTTTAAAATGAGAAATTTTCGAGGTTGTGATTTTTATCAATTGTATTATCAGTCATTTTAAATAAATAATTTTATAAATATCTTTAGAGTTTTGAATTTTTACAAGGAATTTTTTTTAAACTATCAAATGTATAATTTAATTCTCTAAAATTTTTCATATCCAACCACCTTAAATAAAGCAAAGCAATAATCTAGCACATATAT